ACTCGGTCCCAGCATGTTCTCATTTCGATCAAACATTTACCGCATGCATCAACCTGCTCGACCACTTGAGAATCCATCGCACTGCGATCCACGCGCTAGCGCCAGGGGACCCAACATACATTCGCAGCAATCGTCTCCACCGTCCGCACAGCCCATGCACATCCACTCATCACATGAGTCTTTTCGGCCCCGTGTGTATCTACGACAGCGGAGCTCATGCGATATGGACACACCAAGCATATCTTACACGCCCACCAACTCTCACATCTCCAGCCTCACCAACTTCCCATCCACTAGCGCAGCCACTACCACCATCAGGGTCTAAGGCGTGACTGATTCCGGTGAGTAATGGCGCTAGCACCCATCACGATGCGGTACCTTCAAAGGTGGGTCGTTGATTGGATCGCTTGGCCACCCTTTATTCTGTGATCCAAACGGCAATTGCGCCTTTTGAACGTGGCCTCCTATGAATAGACACTTGTAGCAGATTCAATATTCCCTCGTTCTTTGAAGCCATGTTCTCGTGTCGCTTGGGGATAGAGCGTGTTTAATATGCCCAGACGTGTAGACAACCTCGTAGGTCAATGTGCACTCGTTCCTTCTGTCCTCCTAACTCAGATTTGTCACTGAGGCATAGTGGGTGCGGAGAGCGGTAGATCGGGAGGTGCGGTATGCTGAGAAAGTCGATCTTGGGAAGAGGTAAAAGAACGTGAACATCTGTCAACGAAATACCTGATAAAAGAGCTTTTTAGAAGTAACTTATCGAGGTCATTTTCTGAATTTATCTATAAGATTTTTATTGCTGGCCTTCTTTCGACCTTGAGGTCCCTACAAACATGACGCAAACGAACCTCTGTATGAGGAAGAACGTCCAGTAACTTACTACTTCGTCAACTGCTTTTCTTGGTGTATAAACTCCTGGTCAGTGTTTGTTGTGGACCAGGTGATGTGGTGGTGCGCCTAGGTGCAGGTTTTCGCCGTGTCGGCTACCTGCGCCTCCCCCCCCCCCTCCGCCACCTCCGATCCTCTTGGCCCTGTCCTGACACCGGACCCGGGTGGGGAGGAGGAGGGAGTACGGTAGACGTTGCGCAAGTCTACTATCACCATAAAAGAAATCACGCGCAAGTCACTGTCCCTGCTCTCACCCTGCTCTGGGGCGTACGGTGGACGTCGTCAACTGCGGCGGTCAAAATGTCACACAAGCACCTACGAGGTTTCCAGTCTGAAACTCCACCACAAGCTGTACGACCGCATTCGATTCTGCAGCCCTGATTGGTCGACGACCTATACTTCCACTTGACTGTGGAAATATGCCTCATCATACGAAATGTTGTGCATCATACAGAGTACGGAGCCTGATCCTCTGTCAGCTGGTTTCCTGCCCGATTGAGTAGTGCACCCGTTGCCTTGCTGGTCACATGTCAGGGGAGACGGCGCACAGTCCCAGTCTGTCTGTCTCTTAGTTTGCTCACCGACCTGTGGGCACATTCCTGTCACGTGACTGTCCCGCCAACGGCAAGCTAGCTATCTCGCCTTGGTGAACGGCTGGTGTCTGCCCACCCACCTACGAGTGTGCGCCATGTCTCCTCAGGAATGGCTGGTTTGCAGAAGTGGAGTGGTCAGGAAGAAATACAGTGAGTGACCTATCTCATTAAATGTTGACTGAAATTCTGAAACGTGTTTTCGATTAGGAAGGATTACTTAGGCGCGGTTGTAATACTAATTATCTTGCGGCATAATCGTATAGTATTTCGGACTTGGCAGGATGTCAGCTTCTAAACACACCGCTTTTTAATCTGCTGTAGAAAACGCACTCGGTTAAAATGATTACTTAATTAGCATGCATTTTTCTCATTGATTTTCGATGGTCTTGCAAATTCAAATATATCTTATAGAAACCATAAACAAAAATAAGCTTCCTTTCAGTCAATTAATAGACAATCACGTCTTCTTCATATTTTTTATTCAACTAGGGAGTATAATTGGGTTTCAAAAAGTGTTCCAATCCCCGAATAATTTTAAGCCATTGCATTAGCGTTTAGCAAATTAAGTTTACAAGGTGCATGCTTTCTACGTCAGGAAAATAACATATTCCTCTATGCGTTTAGGAAGATACCATATAGCGTTTATAAAATTTTGCAATGGATCCGGACTATATTGTACATTTCACGAGGAGCTGTCATAAACGGCCAGGTACGATGCTATGTGAATGGACATTGCGCGGTCTTAAAAAATCTCATAATTAGAAACTTTTTAAAACCTAATTATACTCCCTCCTTGAATAAAAAATATAAAGAAGACGTGATTGTCTATTAATTGACTGAAAGAAAGCTTATTTTTGTGTATGGTTTCTATAAGATATATTTGAATTTGCAAGACCATCGAAAATCAATGAGAAAAATGCATTCTTATTAAGTAGTCATTTTTACCGAGTACCTTTTTTACAGCAGATTAAAAAGCGGTGTGTTTAGAAGCTGACATCCTGCCAAGTCCGAAATACTATACGATTATGCCGCAAGATGATTAATATTACAACAGCGCTTAAGTAGTCCTTCCTAATCGAAAACGCGTTTCAGAATTTCAGTCAACATTTCATGAGATAGGTCACTCACTGTAGGGGCTGTGGAGGCCACATCGCGGTGGCGAGTAAAATCTAAAGCAGTCAACTATTCGCGTTGCGATATCGTCGAGTAAACCTTGTTTTCGCGGCAGTGGCCCGCTAAGTTTGTTTGCTGTCATACACAAAAAGCTTGTAGAACAGAAGGAAGGACCTTTATCTAAACCAAGCTGGTTTTGAAATCAGAGATGCAGAGAATCAGGACGAAGGGGCAGATGTGACAAGAAGAAATCGAAATGCAAAGTAAGTTATAACAACTAAAACTCAAATTGCCATGTCACGGGGAGTGAGGAAGAAGGGGGGGGGGGAGAGAAAAGCGCAACCTCACCTCAGACACCAAGGGGGAGGGGGTAGAAGTTCACTTATCCACCCGCGTGCAATAGAAATTCGACCCAGGTGGGGGGCCCCCGCCACTGTTACAACAGCTGCAGCTGTCAGTATGACTCAGACACTGACTGCCCATTGCGGCCGCGTAAGGCGGTGGACAGGTGGGCGGTGGGGGACACCACCGGGGGGCAATCGGCAGACCTCCTCCAGGGTAGAAGGGTGTTGGTGGCAGTCCGGGGAATGGTCTCCAGTAGCCCATGGAGGGCATCGTACCCGGAGCGGTGGTACCCGCTGGCGGCTGCTCGCCTGCTCCCTCGCCGCCTGGGCCATCTGTGCAGCGGTCCAGCATGTCCAGTAGACGCTGCAGGTACTTACAGGACTTTTCATCATATGGCGGTTTGGCTGCCTCCTTTTCTTCACCCTTCTTCGCCTTATCCTTTACACGTCGGTGTCGCCCTCTGCCTCGCCGGCGTCCTCCGTAATGCCGATCTTTATCTTCCTTCTCCTCCTCCTCCCCTTCTTCTTCTTCCTCCGCGTCATCATCATAATCCTCATCATCATACTCGTCGTAGTAGTAGTCATAGTCGTCGCAACAACAGTCCTCACAGCAACCACCATCGTCGTCGTACATGCCATAGTAGGGTGGCCTTTGCCAGCCCCCAGGGCCCTGGCCTGGTATCATCACGGCTGAAGGCGGTTGTCCTCCTGTTTGTTGTGCCGGCAGTGGCGTTGGCACTGGGAGTGGGGAGGAGGCCAGTGAGGCGGTGCCATCAATTGGTCCAGTATTCTCATTACTTGAAGGTCTGGTGCCCAGGGCTGCCCCAAGTGGTGCCCCAGTTTGTCCAGGCACAGGTGGTGGCAGTCGCGGTGCTTGCGGATAGAAGGGGTAGCCTCCGGGTTGGCCAGGTCCCACCGGAGGCGGAGGCGGCGGCGGCGGTGCTTGTGACTTCTTCTGCTCCTCTTCCAGGCTTTGGAGACTCTTGCGAATCTCCTTCAGGACATTTGTGAATTCCTCGTTTCTGGTGCGCTCATAGGTGGAGTCAGTGGAAGGTGCTCTGGCCATTGATTTGATGCTGTCTCGGATACCCTCAAGAGCATGAATGATGGTAGGGTCGACGGGTGGCGTGCGTGGTTTCTCTGGCGGTGGCGGAGGAGGAGGCTCGGTCATGACCTCCTTTCCCATGGCAACGACCCTGGAACGCAAGTCTTCCAGAGCCCTCATGATCTCCGGATCAGCAGGTGCGGAAATAACCTCAACTGAAGGCGGTTCATCCGCCTCCGAAGTAATTATTGATGGCTCCTTTTGGTACCTCAGATAGGACTCAATGGGGTCAACCCGGACTTCTGATGGTTCCGTTCCGAGACCGTCAGTTGTCCTTCCTCCGAAAAAAGTTTGCGTTCCGCGATTGGGAAGTTCCATGGGCATAGCCGACGGCCTTGACAGGGCTTCCAGCCCCACGCTACTAATGGGTCTTCCATCTGACTGACTAATGGTTGGACGATTGGGATCTATCATAGAATGTTGAAGACTGGGTGGGTTGATGGACTGCATCATCGAACGTCCCAGTGCCTGGCTGGGCTGGTACGCCGCTGGACCTCCAATTACTGACTTTGCTGGATGTATGCTCGACTGTTGAGCTAAGGAGTTCTGAATGAATGATCGATTGACTGGATAGGTCGGCGCTATGCTTTGCTTGTTCGAACCCAGAGCCAAACTAGGTTGATAGGCTACTGAACCCCCCACTACAGAAGGCATTGGTTGTTGCGCTAAGGAACCCTGGCTGAACGATCGGTTGACTGAATTCATTGTCGCTACGCTTTGTTTGTAAGCGAAAGAAGGATTTGACAGGCGTGCCGCGTCGAAATCGGTTGGCTGGAACTGCGAACTCCCATCTTGCCCGTCCGTCAAGACCACGCCGTTGTCGATTAGGCCCGAGGGTCCCCTAGTAATGCTTGCAGACTGTCCTTCAGGGTTCAGGCCCGAGAGGATAGATGCTAGCGCACTGTGAGTCACCTCCGAGGGTGAGGCCTGTGTCCGCAAATTCGGCACTTCATCGACCCTAGAGTTCTGCCTTTGAATCAGGTCTGAAAACTCGCCGGCAAGAGTCTGTACACAGGTCTTCAACTCATTGAGCGCTCTTACCAGCATCCGCTCGGCTGGATTAGGCGCCGCAGCCTGCTTCTGGGCTTCAATGTAGGAGGCTAACATGGCAGATTCAAGCTGTTGGTTTTCGTTTCGCATCTCATCAACGAGGGTCTTAAGACTGCGTCTGAGCTCCGTCATGCCACCCAGCGCAGGAGGCATCTGTGACTGTCGTGCATATGAAACTCTGTCCATAGCGGCAGCGCCGTTCGATAGGGCGGTCGTGTTGCGGATCATGGCGGAGAGCTCCGCATTATCGCTTCGCATCTCCGTGGCCAGGGTGTTCAGGCGATGTCTTATGACGTCCATTGGGGATGCAGCGGAATCCCTGGGTTCTTGCAAGTTACCCGAACTGGGACCAACACCATCCTGTCCAGAGGAACCAACTATTGAGGTTCCTGCTCTAGCTGCCGAAGCAGCATCAGGGTTTACATCGGTCGGCTGATTGGCCTCCCCAACTCCATCTTGATTTGAGTTTCCCGTATTTACTGACAGGAAGGTCAGTCGCGTGGGATCCGAATTAAGGGGAGTGTCTTCTTCGGCGTCTTCTTCAACATTATTTTTTGAGCTAGATAGAGCTTCCCCCGCCTTTTGTGTTCTGAGGCACCGGGGTCCCACCCTTCTTTCGTGATGTCTGCCTCCCCCTTGCGAAACATTCGCACACAGAGCGACTTGATCGCTGCGGCTGCGACGGCTGCTGCTGCTAGTAGTAGCATCACTTCTTTTTCTCCGGTCGGCACAAGTTTTACTAAAATCAGAGAGCATACGCGTAGCAAATGGATGCCTGCGGTCTGGCCGGTCCTCACAGGATCGCGTCAGAATCGACCGGGGCGCTCGTGGAGGAGTTGAGTGGGAAGGACCACTCAAAAGAGCATCCTCAAGGAGGCGGCAGTGCGGTGACAGCAAACAACTCTCCTCCATAGTGGGGCTTGTGGGCGTCCGTGGGCTGTTGCCGTCTCCTGTAAATGCGCCCCCAGCTGCCGCCAGTTCTGCTTGAAGTGTTCCAAGACGGTAACATTGACTGTGATTGGAGGTGGTTTGGGTCGGGCAGTAGTCTGCAACTACTGTTCTGCCCATTTTCAGCCTTCAAACACGCAGTTGCGGTAATCGTGACTTCACACAGCTATCGATCGTTTTTTAAACGCTTCCGTGGAACTCATGTTCAGTGTCTGGGAGGAAGTTTCGGGTAATCGGGGGGAAGTAAACGTAACTCCACCAGTACTGGACCCAGCACAAGTAAACCTTGAGGAATACAACCGGCCCTGGTTTTAATCCCCGGTGTCTGGTCTGGGGATGGAGTATGCCTGAGAATGCTAGATAAATAAAAATGACTATTTCGATCCCTCTCAATCCACTGATTGCGCGATCTGCTTCCAAGAGTCTGTCATTTTTTAACTGGAATGTTGCCTCAAGTAACGGCCCAAAACTGTGTATAAATTTGCACAGAAATCCTCAAAAAGCAGTTTCCCGCATTCTATTTTCTTATAATTTGCTGTTTTCCAAGTTTGGATTAATTTGAACTTTATTTAGGACCTGGGAATTCCAGATTTACTCACTGGTTGCCTCAGTAGGCGCTGGCTACAAAAGTTCAAAGGCGTGACAATTGTGCAGTCATCTGTTCCTGGCTATCCTAACCCTCAACCCGCCTTAGTGGGTGCCAGTTTGAGAGCTCGGATGATTTTAGTTTCGTCCTTTCAGACTGAATTGCTTCTCCAAAGAAGAGCACGTTCGTTCGTCTCTGCTCTTCTAGCCCTTTGTCGGGCTTTGCCTTTTTAGTCAGTCGATACCGCGATTTGAACGTTTAAAATCATAAAAAATGCGTAGAAACCCCACTCTGTGCGCTCGTTGCACGCGCGTACCAGGGACACTGGTTCTTGGCCAATCAGAGCTATCCGAACCAGCCAATCAATTTCAAGGTCGGCTCAGGCAGACCTAGTGACCGGGGTTGATGAGGGTGACAAAGGCGGGTCGCTGTAGCACGCCTTCAATAGATTCCAACGCAGAAATAACTGAATAGGATCATTAGACAGGGCATTGAGAACATACTGACGGATAAATTAATAGATGGTGTGGGTATCATCCATCGTCAAACCATGGGGAACCAACCAAACGCAGATGAGTAATCTGGTGTAGTTCACAAAATCTCGTGCTACGGCCGTCCTCGCCGTTGCACAGGCCTGACCAGACGATGAGTCAGCTCACGAATAATAGCACACAATCGGGCAGTTCGGAAAAGCGACCCGCTGACTCTTCTCGCCACTCACACTCTGGAGGAGGGCCAAGAATTCAACTTCGAGGGCACGCGGATGATGGTGCGAGCTATCAGTTAGACGGAGCGGGAACCGCTGGAGGCCTGGGTGTCTGATACAGACTGCATCAACAGGCACGTCGATATACCCTTTACGCTCACGCGGCCAAGAGAAGCGACCCAGCTTCCAGCCCCCAGCCAATGACGCACGCCGTTACCATGCTATGAGAAGGTATGCACCCAGCCTTATCGCAAACACTGCCCCCACCAATGCCCCATTATTTAACTGCAAAGTCTACTCAACTGCTGTTGCATCCTCAGCGTATCTAATGCTGGCCTATGTACGAGGGCAAAACCTCAAACTAACTCACCTATTGTCTCTATGATTGCGTGTTCACCTTCTTTGCAGAGTTAGATGTGTGTACAAGTATTACTAGCGACAGCAGAAGCTTTCGATGTACTACAGCAGTAGAAAACACAGGGGAACAAAGTCGGCTCAGGCATATCAGCTTGACGGCAACGTAGCAATATGAGACCCATGCGGAAAAATCCAAGGTAGGTCTACGCTACCTTTGTGGAATTCAGTGGGTAGTAATATGTAATATGCAATCGTGGGTCCCAAATTGCGTCCTTGCCAGCTTCACAACCGGTGGGGAGGGGTCGTGGGATGTGCTGGTTAGAGACAGAGAATCGGGAGAGTGTTGTTGAGAGCGTTTTGGGAGGGGGGTGTCAGCGGTTCCGAGGGAAAGGAGTAGCGGCCATCTTCATCGACACGCGGTTACACCCTACCCATATTGGATACAGCCAAAATGACACTTCAGTTTATCCAAACAACCCTGTCAATTCCCTGGGGCGTTACATATGCTCTCCCTAAAAGGTACTGTGACACATACACCACTGTCACTCGGGACGCCAGCCCCCGTGGCGCTGGACGAGTGTTCTCGTCCAGTTGCAAACTTGTTCCAACCTGTCCGGTGCCCAAACCCTCCTTTTCGTAATGGGGACCGGGTCTGAATATTATAGTGGCTAGAGTCTGTCTATGGTTAAAGCTTTCGCGACAAATGCGCATACAAGAGTGGACGATTACCAACCTGTTTGTCTCCCATAAACCAAAGGAGCGCTCCACGAGGATCGTTGACTGACGACTAAGCATGAACTAACGAAGCTGGGCTGACAAAGGCAAAGCACAGAAGACGAAATTTATTGGCCTGACGTTCCGGATTCTCATCCGAGCCCATCATCAGAGACAGTCGCAGATAAGGGTAATGGTAGCACAAAGAGTGCAGTGTGTACAACACGTAGCTGTCGTGGGACCATATGCGTACTACAATTAACAGCTCTCGCAGTCACCGCTGGGGCCGTAATTGGTGCGATGGTGGCTTGTCGGTCCGCGTCCGAGTCGTTAAGTTCCGCGATTTCGTCATCCATGTTGGATGCTGGCGTTACGATGGCTCGGCAATTAGGATCACTGCCACTATGGTTATTACTCGACCGCACCCTCCCCACGTGACTAATTCCCCTGCTCAGGGGAAATCTCAGCACGGAATACAGTAACGGGAGGTCATTGAGCTTGTTGATGGATTGCAGGCCTGAGAACCATGACTCGAGCGGCCCGCGGCTAATGCGGTTGCCACCCCTTCCGAGGAATTCAGCCTCTCGAAACTTGAAAATATGAGCGGGTCCCGTCGAATGAGCCGCCACCTGAGATCTAGCGTCTCCCGCCTCACTGCTGCTGCGTGCTCGGAAATTCACGTGCGGAGTAATCTCCCAGTTTCTCCGACGTAGTTGCTTTGTCCGCAACAGCACCAAATCCTGTAAACGACTCCTGACGTTTCCTGCTGTGACAGGGGGTCTTTCGGCCTCATGATATGACGGCTAATGGTTGTTTCCGGCCTGTGTGCAACCCCCACTCCAAGTGGAGTGAGAAGACGACTGGCGGCTCCTGAGACGTTTCTCACGTACGGGAGAGCCCGCAAAAATTTAGGGCCGGTTGGATTTGGTTTCTGCTGTCGTCTTCATGTGCAATAGTTGACAAAGTTGCGCGGGTAGCCATTAGTTCTCAGTATTCGTCGAAGATATTGTGATGCAACAACCTTGTCTTCCGTTTCATTGCAATGCATCTCAACGCGTCGGTATAGCGCTCTTATGCAATTGCGTCTGTGACTGATCGGGTGGTTGCTGTTGAAGTTCGGCATTTGTTTCGTATTTGTCGCTTTCCTGAACACTTTGGTTTTTTAGGCCACCACAATCTTTGCGGCCTACGAGGACATCCAGGAAGGCCTGGCTGGTTGTTTTCTTCCTCCTTCATCGTAAAATGAATTTTCGGGAAGACGGCGTTAAGATGTTCGTTGAATGTCAGCACCTGACCCCGTTCGATGACGACGAAGGTATCATCCACATACCGAGCCCAGAAAGCCAGCGACTCTAACCATTGTAGGACCGCTTCGACTATGAGTCCCGAAATCGGCCAACCCATTGGCGTGTCCTTCACCTGCTCGTAGGTTGTTCTGTCGTACGTAAAGTACGTCTTGAGACAGAACTTAAGGAGAAGGAGGATTTGGACGTGTCCAAGGCGATTTTCCCTTTCGTCGTATCTCTCTCTCTCTCTCTCTCTCTCTCTCTCGTGGAAGTAGTTCGATGGTCTAGACTACGTCATAGTATCCTTTTATGTTACGTCCCTTTTTGCTTCTATCTCACGGGACTAGGCAGTCGAGACCAGCATCAGGGACATCGACCGTCGCGATCGACGACGGCCACCGGGTTGTCCACCGGGATTAGGCACAGCGACTTTCCCTTGGATTAGTTTACAGTGAGGGAGACGTTTGCCTCCGCCTAACGTACTCTCTCCTGCCCCGTCACCCACTGATGGCAAGACGACCGGAGGTGGGCACGAGTTACACACGATTTGGTTCTCAGAACCAACACCAGCCTTTCATGAGGACGATGTGGATTCTACCTGTGTGAGAGCGCCATCACAACCGTCTCTTAGCCCTCCGGTCGCTCAAATATGCTCGCTATCAGGACCGAGTTAGAGCTTCGGTTGGCAACTTTCCAGGCCACGACTTTTAGCTTGTCGTGATACCTTCAAGCACGTCAGGACAGGAGACGTAGACTCGTGAATTTTCAGTGCATAGACAGACCTCCAGATTGTACATTTGATTGCTGAGTAAGCGGGCCATGTGCACGCTTGCCCAGTCATCCTCCTCTTCCTGATCTGCTTATTTTGTTGTTGGTTAAAATCCTGGTCAAGTGTTTGTTTTTTGTGGACCAGGGGGTGTGGTGGCACACCTACGTGCGGGTCCAGCCGTGCCGTTCACCTACGCCCTCTCCGGTCTTCTTAATTCTGTCTTGACGCCGGCTGCAGGGTGGGGTGGGGGAGAGAGTGAGATAGATGTTGCGAAGGCCTCCGTGTCTGCTTCACCCTGCTGTGGAACACACGGTGATGGTCGAGCTGTCGCCATATTTGACCGTCAGCTTGCCCACCCTTTAGACTTCTGAACTGTTCGCATCATTCAGTGCCTTTCTACCACTGTTGTTTCCACCGGTTCCTACCAACCCATGCTATTTTCTACCTACAGGCGGCGTGTTGTGCAGATGGTGTGCATTGTTGTCCCGAGGGTACTCGCTGCAACGCTCTCTCCAATGCCTGTATCCCCAGCGGCCGGGTGAATCC